TGGTGGTAGCACTTGAATGATTTAGTTCAGCTGAAGCTGAGTGAATCCCAGAGCCCAAGATCTATGTCCTTCAGCTCGGAGTTAAAGTGTCCGTGACGCACAGCAACACCCAAGAGGTAGCTTTGCTGGCTTCGTGCTTCAACTTTACGCACCTCGTCAGAAGAGATGGAACATGGGACGGTATGACATTCCTTTCTGTTGCTGCAGAGAGCGCGCGGGATGAAGTCAGATAAATCAGTAGAGCATTGAACACTAGAAAATACAAGCCACTGTGGTGCCTGTGCGCTGAAGGCAGATGGTCTTTGCACCCTGCGTGGGTGCAGTTTCGGACCACTTTGGACGGAAGTATGCCTGCCTGGCTGCAACATTCTTCGGGACATGTACCATATGTATCCTCCCAGGAAATTGTCGCTACAGAATTTTCCAACAGAGATGGCTGCGTTAGCACTGCTCCGCTGGGTCATCACCAGTTTTCTTTGTGTCTTATGGTTGTAATGTTGCATCCTCTTTAATGTATGGGGTCCCCCCCAAACAAATTAGTGCGTCCTGAATCAAAAATCCTAATGGTAATCCCGTCCCCCNNCCCCCCAACATTGGATTTTAATTAGATTTCATTCGTTCTATGCCGGGGCAGTTTCTTTTTGATCTTCGCCTGACAGAGCCGGGGGGCGGCGCGGCCGCATCCTGCGGTGCCGGGGCACATTCTCCTTGGGCCACTTTTCGCCTGACTGAGCCGTGGGGCGGCTTAGCCGGACACTGTGTTGCCGGGGCATTTCTTTCGGGTGGGTTTTTAGTCCACGTGCTTTAGTAGATTTGTTTAAGCGTTCTTGGTAACACCGGAAAAGCAGCAGTAACACCGGTAAGGGGGTACTATAAACGCATAACATACATAACGCAGACAGTTCCGTATTCCTTATTCTTGCGCGGACAGATGTGTATTAGACGGGACGGACAGATGTGGTGCAAAAAAGCGCTCAGAGCAACATCATCCGCTTTTGGTGGTTTCCAGGTGCAAAAACAGGGAAAAGCGGATGATTCGCTGGTCAGAGAGCCAAATCATCCGCTTTTTGGTGGTTTCCAAAGCAAAAACGCCGAAAAGCAGATGATTCGCTGGTCAGAGAGCCAAGTCATCTGCGTGTTGGTGGTTTCCAGGTGCAAAAGTGCAAAAACACCGAAAAGCGGATGATTTGCTGACCGCTGGTCAGATCATCTGCTTTGTTGGTGGTCCGAAAAGCGGATGATTCGCTGGTCCAAGAGCCAAATCATCCGCTTTTTGGTGGTTTCCAGGTGCAAAAACACCGAAAAGCGGATGATTCGCTGGTCAGAGAGTTAAATCATCCGTTTTTTGGTGGTTTCCAAAGCAAAAACGCCGAAAAGCAGATGATTCGCTGATCAAGCCAAATCATCCGCTTTTTGGTGGTTTCCAGATGCAAAAACACCGAAAAGCGGATTCTTCGCTGGTCAGAGAGCCAAATCATCTGCTTTTCGGCGTTTTTGCTTTGGAAACCACCAAAAAGCGGATGATGTAACTCTCTGTCCAGCGAATCATCCGCTTTTCGGTGTTTTTGCACCTGGAAACCACCAAAAAGCGGATGATTTGGCTTGATCAGCGAATCATCTGCTTTTCGGCGTTTTTGCTTTGGAAACCACCAAAAAGCGGATGATTTAACTCTCTGACCAGCGAATCATCCGCTTTTCGGTGTTTTTGCACCTGGAAACCACCGAAAAAGCGGATGATTTGGCCACTCATGCGCTTTTGGGCTTTGTTCCTTTTTCCCAGCCTAAACTCTGCGCGTGATTAGTGTGCGATCCTTTTGCAGCATTACTGTGCCCTCTCTTGAATTAGGTTTCAATGCTTTCAATTGGATTTTAATTCGATTTCAACGGTTTTAATTTGATTTTAAGTCGATTTCGATTGGTTTCGGTTTGGGGCCTTGAGATTTTTGAGCTCCAGGCCTCTAAGCATTGTTAGAGCTTTTGAGGCCAGGCCTTCTTTCAGGAGCTCCCACAAAACGGTGGGACATTACAGAGGGTACCCAGACGTTGCCACTATAGAGGGTTGGATTTCCAGATGGATTAGGGCTTTTGGAAAATGTTGCAGGCTAGGCAAGGCAAGTAATTGAGCTTAGCTGGGGCTATGGGGGAACCTGCAGTTCGGCCTGCCGCCAGCCTGTGCGAAACCCAGACAACTACCCGGACCCCCTCCTACCCCCCTGAAAGGGGGTAGGGTGTGGGTTAACTTGCTCTTCTAGTCTCTGGCTCTGATCTAAACGCCCCAGATCTCCGGCCTCAGCAGATTAAACTAAGCGTTTTCCTACTTTGGACACTAAAACTTGACGTTATAAAGAGTACCCCAAACAAATACTTGTCTTGAGTAATTTCCCCGAAGTTTGACGCAAAAGAGGGTACCCAAGCATAACAGCGTGCAACGTTACTGGCTCCCAACACTAACAGAGATCTCCTGGAAAATGCCTAGTCTCTCGGAGCCTCTGCAGCTGTCCCCGGCCAGGTGATGCTCGGGGGTCTCTTGCTGCAGGCCCGCAACAGCCTCTCACGTACCTCGGGTCGAAGAAACACGCACGGCTGGAGTTCAAGGGTGCAGATGGCAGACTCGGTTGGATAACAACACGGAACTTTGTTTGTCGCCGGCAACCGTGTTTCAGGGTTTGCCCACAGAAACAAGGTCCAAGTGGAATTCAGTTCTGGCAGGCTTTGTCGAACTCCTTCCAAGCTGTGGTAGACAGTCCAGCTGCGAGGAACTTAGCTTGGCCGAGCATTCAAAAGTTTACGCGGCGGACCCACGCCTGCAAAAACAGGGAACTGTAGCGCAGGCCCTGAGCAGCTGTGACATGTTTTGGCGGTATAGTCCCAGATGATGACATCCAGCTGTATCATCTGAATTTTGCGAGGCCCTGCTGCTGGCACGAGTGCGCCCCCACAGCGTGCTTCTGTCATTCTATTTTTCTGCAATCGTTGCTACTTCTGGATTGCTTGATCAATCATGTCAGGTAAGTTTGTCATGGTTGACGGGTTGATGGTTTGAGTTGGAGCAGAATATACGTCCATACACTTACGGTATCATCACTTAGTGTAGCAAGTGGTGCATCTGTTTTTTTGCAACAATGCCTGTGCGTAGCAGGGAAACATTTGATTTCAGGTGCGCTTCTCGGAGGCCTCAGAAGCACCTCTTTTCTTGCCCCTCAGGGCTTTGTGGGCTTGGCAACAAGCACTGGCCCGGCTGAGATGGCCAGGGCCCAAGTGAGATGCCAAGATCTCGGTTTGGGCTATCATGGTACGTTGTTGATGTTGCCTGGAAAGGCTTAACTGTGCAAGGCATCGTGCTTTGCGACATCATTCTGCCGCACTGATGTTTTGCTAGGTTAGAATCTTTAGAGCGTTCAGCCTGGCAGTGAGACAACTAGGCCTACATCATGGACTACACCCGTGATGAGCAGCAGTTGCAAGCTAAGCCTGATTGGGGCGCTCTTACTTGTTCACCGAAGTTCTGTCTGGATTGTTTCTTGTGATGGGATCCCAGCTTGATATCTGCAACGTGAGTCGAAACAGTTGTGTCCTGTGCGTCTGTTATCTGACACAGCCTGCCTTCTTTCGCACGATGTACCGTTTGAATAGCGTGTAGGGCCTTCCCCGGGCCCATTCACGCAATGCTGTTCTTCCTTGAGTGGTGCTGTTGCACGGGGCAGGATTTCTTGGCCGAGTATCCAGTAATATTAACGCTACCGCGCTCCGCCTCGGCCGGCTCGAACCACGGTCGGCGGCGGAGGAGGACAGACAGCATGAAGCAGAGCAAATCGTGAGAGGGTAGCTGTGAGAGTTCAGGACAGACAGGGCAAAAGACCCGAAAAATCGAGAATTTCACCAAACCCCTCTTCGAACCAGCCTGAACCCCTGGAGGGTCACCTGATTCTCGCCAACTGAGGCCCGACCCCCAGGCTGTCTGTCCAGTCCCACCAGAGCTACCCGTGCAATAACGGGTGGAAGAAGGTTTGGGAGGGGGGAAGGGGGGGTGGGTAGAGCATTGCTCCCCCAAACACCAGAGGCCAAGAACCTCGGTGGATCTAGTACATGTGTTTGCCGCCAAACATATCCAACAAACTTGCGATGTTCAGGCTCAGTTACATCCTTGCCTTGCAACGAGTGGTTTGCAACGGTGGCGCCGCTTGCTTCAAAATCCGAGCTTCGATCTTCATTTGCTGTCAGCAAGTGCAGCTATGCAGATGAGCATGCAAGTGATGAAAAGGTTCGAGAGGACTCTCATTGCATGTGTCCTATCCGTCCAAACTCGGCACAATTTAGCTGGCCGCTGGAAAGCCCATAGGTAAGGTGATGAATCTTGTACGGCACGGTGCTTTGAGAAGCCTTTCCCGATTTCTCTGGGTCTAACTGCCCTTTCCGCAATATTTCAGAAGCCTTTCAACCACATCAACTACCCTGAGGAGCAGTGAGAAGCCAATCATCACGGTGACTGCCAGCATTTGCCAGCTCTGCTTGAGGCTCTGTTGGGCCCTGTTCTTGCCCACACTTTCAGAGGCTGTTGCCCAAGCGAAAGCTGCTTGTAACACGCTCCTGATTATTGTGGTTCGGCCAAGACGGCCCATTACATGCAGGTGAAACTTTCCTTATTTTCCTGGAACTAGTCCTTGTTCCAGCCATACATGAACGGAGCCATATTCGAGAGCCGTTATGATTAGGGTTTGAGAGCCTGGCGCCTCAAATTTGGTACAATGAGCTGACCCCATGCCACTGCACCAGCGTGATCGGAGCAGACTTTTGCTGCGGCTCCGACGCTTCGATGCGCCTATCACTGCAGTGCTCCGCCCGATATTGACCCAAGGCGTCGTGTCAGCGAGCTAATGCGTCAGCCGGCGCAAAACGCATTGGTGCATTCGACCTTCTCTTGGAGTAAAGTGGGCGGGGAATTTGAGCACTGCAGCACGCACAAAAACCGGAGAATAATGCTATCTTGCTGTGATGCTTACAGCTTGGCCAGAAAGCTGGTCTTCATCTCATCATAGCAATAGCGCGCATAACCATAAGGGCAATATCGGCAGGAATAGAAGCAGCTGCCACTCAGCAGCATGCTCGGCTGCTGAAGAGTATTAGAAGTAGCTTGCACGCCTAAACATGATAAAGCGGCAACATATGCAGCTAATACCTGCCGCTAAGGCTATGGCTTTCCAGCCTTTTGTCGAGGCTTAGCTTGTGACGACCTTGGAATACCTTGGAGTTCGTGTGGTTTCAGGCGTTGCAGGTCATGGAACATGGACTCCATGGAAGCATGTTGAAGTGTACTTTGCCAAGGAACAAACCATGCATCATGGAGTGCTGCTGATGATTGCGCGGAGTTTAGAGTCCTGACCACTTGCTCCACAGCCCCACGCCGGACTAAAACGGCTTGGACTAATGTCGTTTGTGTGGCACGTTAGACCGTTAGACTTAAGGCATCAACCTCCTTAGCCTCCTGCTGGGATCCCTCCTTTGGGATAACCGGCAGCCGGGAGCCGAGCGCGTTAGACAGATGTCGAGGAGATGTGCATTTCAGCGTCTCCAAATTCCTCTTGGTTGGCTTGCCTCATTGCAGGTCAGGGATACATTCGTAAAGAACTTCCTGCTTCATGTTAGGTCGCTTTCCGGCGACGCGGACAGGGAGGCTCGGCAGACGCTGTGTTATAATGGAGTTGCTAAGCCAAGCGGGAGATATTGGAGGCAAAGAGGGTGTGCGGAAGAGAGAGATGCCGCTGCTTGATACCGATAATGGGGTGCACTGGTTAGACGAGGCTATTCAAGTTTCACCTCCCGGCATAGATTGGACTCGACCATGCGGAAGTAGGTAGTGATGGAATCATACGCGTGCAGTTGAGTGGAGCACATGTGGCCAGTACGCCTACTTTTGGAGGCCTCTTGCTCCACACCAGTAAGCATCCAGCGATCCAGGCAGGGTCGAGGGTGTCATCTTGTGCCTGTCCAGTCTGTCCAGAGTTCTCAAGCGTAATCTGTAAACCAGAACTGTTCGGGATGGCAAGGACCACGCGTGTCTTGCCAACTGTGGAACTGCCGCGTTGCCGCCTAGGGAACAATGATGCACCTCATAGCTTGGGAGTGAAACTCCGCCGGTTTAGAGTCGCCGCGGATCAGCCTTGATTCCCTCTGGTGCGGTGCAGGTCAGACCTCTCCAAAAGTGGACAAGGCTTCACTGGCAGTTTGACCTACAGATGTGGAGCCTTCACACAGATCCCGAGTTGGAAGGTTAGCCTCTCTTGCAACGGCTGAAGGACCCAGACCAAATAGCCCAACACGAGCTCCTGCCCAACATCCCGGTAGGCCGTGCCTGGGGCGAGAACTACCTTGCCGTGCTTCGCTCGGCTTGATCATAGCCTGACTGCACGGTAACCTCTGTCGCATGGGTTGGGCAAGCTTGTCACAGGTATTGGTGCACGCAGGTGTTGGCTATCTGCTTGGGGTGCCTTGGATTCGCAAGAAGCTTTCATGCAGCCCAAGAGATGTATCCATCGGGGCAAAACAGGTGACTTCAAACATTGACATTTCCACAAGATGCTAGAGCAAACTGGAGCGCCTTCAAGATTCTGTTGCAGACGTGATTGCAGCGGCTGTAAGTTACTGTCCCAAAGACTGGACCCTTGCGTTGCAGGAGATCGATGCCTGCTGAGTGGAGCATACTCGTACGGTGGTGTGATGTGGTATGTGCAGTTTACATCCGGTCGTTCAGGCAACGTTTATGGACCAATGAGGTAAACTGAATAAGGCAATCATGTTCCCCAAACCCCGCGGCCATTGCCAGTAAGCTGCAAATCCCACATGGGCCTGCTGCACTCCTGGTGATTGGTATGGGCTCAATGTAAAGGCGAGTCTTTCCCACCCAGTCATTCCCCTGGTTGTCTTCTTGGGCAGCTGCTTAACACATGTTGTCAAAGTGCTCTGAAACGGAGCAAGGCATCCTTCGGATTCAGCTTCACCGTTGGTGTTAGTACCAACCTTGGCTTCTGCTGCTGTGCTGTGCTGTGCTGCGTTGGCGTTGGCCGCTGCTGTGACTGCAAAGCGACTTGGAGACCTGCGCTTGTCTTTCTTTATCTCTCGTTTCTCATTTGCTTCGCTGCATGTCAGAACCGAACTGCATTTTGAGGCGAAGGCCCCGAACCGTTGTTTCTGAAGGACACCGGCAGGGGACAGATAGGGGTGTTTCATTTTGAGTGAGTCATGCCTTGAAAATGAACAGCCAGCAAAAAGCCCGGACATGCGCAAAGCACGGACATCCGTGGGATTGAGTTTTCTGCGGGCGCTGAAGACATCACACATGGCCAATCCGACCCCCGCAGTCTTCCATCCAGCATTCCTTCAACACAGGCTCCTGACATGTCAGTCGAACCAGCAAATGGCCGACCTTCCAAAGAGCGTGTCACATGCCAGCAGAGAACCAAGCAAGGCCTTGCTGATCCCAGGATCGATATTTCTTTGGGCAGACCGAATTTGGCTGGTTTTTCATGGCCTGGCTACCCAGCTTTCTGTGCTGTTCTGTGCTCATTGGTATGGTGGTGCGCATTTGTCAGAGATTAAGATCTAACAAAGTTCATCACTCACATTTCCAACAGACCTCCACAGATTCGATTTATTTCGATTTGTGCAAGACGCATGTACTTTCAGCTGTTGCAGCAAATGGGATGGCGCCTGGGGTCGCAGCAAAAGGCTGCAGCCTGCCTTTGACCTTAAATTCGACGCACCAGTTTCTCTCGACCCAGAGTTGCATGGCGTCATCATTTGCAAGAACTGCTGCCACAGGTGTCGAATGCTTCGACGCTCATGTGGTCACCTGTACTTCCGCTGCCTAGGGCTTAGCAAGCTGTTTGCAAAGTCCTAGAGCTTTGACTGTGTCATTGCTTCAGAGCTAGCTTCCAACCTTGGCTAACTTGGCTCCAAGTGTTGGTTTAATCTAGGTTCAAACCCAGACTTGCAACCTCGATTGAAGCAGGTGGTTACAATTAATGTTGATCAGGTTTCATGAGGTTGAGCTACACGATTTCAACTAGATGTTTCAGTCTGGTTCCAAACTTGTTGCTCCGCAATTTGTCCGACCTGGGTTCCAGATGGGTTCGAGCAGCCGTAGGCTGAGAAGCATTCACAACTCGAGAAAAGAGTTCAGACCAGAGCTTCCAGTAGCTTCAGCGAAGTCCGATACAGATTGTCATGCACCCAAGTTTCAGCCCGGACTTTCAAGTTCAAGCTTCAGCACGTTGTAAGTCACCACACAAATGCATTAGGCGCAGGCGGTTGGCTTAGCACTGTGGCTGCTGCTTGATTGGACCTGAGATCAGGTTCATTGCGCGTTTTGGGGCGAGAGTGGCTTGTGCGGCTGGCTGCTTTGGTACTGCCACCGCTCGCATCTCAGACTCTGGTTCTCAGCTTCTCCTCTCGCTTAATCATTGCTGCACGTGTCCGCGAGATTGCGCGAGTTTGGTACCTTTCTATCAGGGCCTGGCCAAAAAGCAACTGAGAGGCTATAACAAATGCCCGAAACTCTGTAAGCAAGCCCCAAAACATGCTACGGAGAACCTCTGCATGAAAGAGAAGGAATACTGCAGCAGCGTTTAGGCAGATTTGCTTGCCCCTTCTCACTGCAAGATCGACGGCGCAGCGTGGTCCAGTAAATGCAGCAGAAAGACTGGCCTCCTTAAGGCTTTGACACTGTACTTTAGCTTGCTAGATGACTGCAGCGGGCATGGGGCAAACCGAGTCAAATCCAATTGGCAGCAGACTCCATGCCGATATTGACACAGCAGGCAAACATGCAGCAGACGTCCTCTGTCAACCTGTGGTTTTGCAGCTTGACAAACTTCGAATTCAATTGAGAGTGATAAGCTCAGACAATTGGGCTAATACATGATGGCTCGCATGGTGCCCTAATTGGGTGTGTACTCTCTGCAACTTATTTGTGGTGACATTGTGAATTCCATAGGTTTCAGGTCAGGTCAGCGCAGAATGCTTGTATTTTCCAGTTGGAGACCAGCTGCTGAGAGACACTGTGCAGCACTATTGTCATTCATTGCCCGATGCAACGTGCCGCTTGACGCAATCCTACGGAAAAGATGTCCTGGAGCTGGAGCTCAAAATTTCATCCCAGCAATATGACTATTGAGTCTTGATTCCAAGGCCGGAGGCTCTGGCCATAGAGCCAAGGATTTTTGACATTACTCTGAAATTAGCCTAGAAAGCTTCAACCGTTCCTGCATTTGACAGCAGTCGCATCATGCCTGAAGTGATGGAGGCCATGCTTTTCCTGATTACGCTGAAGGGAAGCAAGTGGGTTCCATACATTTATGCCGACGGCTCAGCTCCACTTTCTCTTCGGAACTGTGGTGAGGGACATGAGCTGCAGCATTACCTCATTCCAGGATTCTAAATACTGCGCACTTGAACTGCCTGCCACATCAATACCGAGCCCAAAGCTCTGAGAACGCTTTTGGTACATGAGCTTGTTTATTTGCATGCCCATTTACCAACAAACCGCTTCCGACAGCAGGTTGCAGCGACAGTTGGCCTTTGCTCGACCATGGTGGGGCTTGGCTTCATGGGCGTGAACCTCAAAGACTGGACCGTCAGACGCTGCAGTTCCGCCTGCATGGGCTCATGAGTTAACACAATGCCAGTTGCATTTTCCAGACTATGAGGACCATGAGGATTGAGATAGCAGAAGCCCGAACAGTTTGCATGGCGCTTTAACACTTAACCCCAGCTCAGAGACGCAAGCCGGCAACAGCAACAGCGGTAGTCTGTTAAGTTGTGGACTGGCAGGTGTAGGCAATGGGGCCCCGAAACTCGCCCATGACTTTATTCAGCACGGTTTGCAGATGGCTACATGCAAGAAATGATTTCACAAGATTCTCGTGCAGGGCCTTGAGGCATGGTGGGTTTGTACCCAGGGCAGCGTGCAACAGGACTGCTTCTCTTAAAGTCCATTATGAAAGAGAGTGCATTAGCAGACTTGCTTCATGTTGATGCCTCTTGGCTGCAAGGTCAGACATTCATAAGGAGTCAAGCATGATCAAATGCCTCTTGGCGCAGTCCCTCTTGACTTGATAATGCAGCCAATGTAATCTTAGAGGTGAAGGTTGGTCCTTCTCTTTTGAGCTGTTAGCGCCCTGTGTCACAGCAACATGGCACCTGCATAATTCCTGTTTAGAGCTTCTGGCAGCCATGCTTTGTCTGTGCCTTGGCCTGCTCCTTCTGGGCGCTCACGCAGCCTTCTGCCCGAAAGGCCTGGTAGACTGGGCCAGACCCGGGACTTTGCTTGTTGCGACAGTCTGATGCATCTTCTCGGCTACCGCGTTGTCCTTGTCAGCGGAATATTCCTGTCAGTGACGTGTGCCTCAGAGAAAGCTGGAACTCACATTGAAAAGCCTACACCTCGCAACAAGACATTTAGACGTTCCTACTGCGTACGGTTGGGGACTCCGGTAAAGACTTCTTGAGGGGATGCTTCTAATCATTTTCAGGATTAAAATCTCAAGTCCCTGCGTCACGTGCTTCGGAAACTTCCGAAAGCTCATGCGCTAAGCGCATTTTAGAGACCCTGGGGGCTTTGTTTTCGTGCAGACCGATATGGTAGTCTGTGGTAGGATTTCAAAAAAACCAGACGCGACCGAATTGATGAATATTTGTCATATGTCTTTCCTTGACAAGAAGCTGCGACGAGGTCTCCGATTGTTGACTCCTTGCCTTTCTGGTTTCTAACTTTTGCCTGAGGCTTCGGCGGTGGATCCTTTCCGAAGGCCTTGCGATATGGAGTTCTTGGTTAAGGATTACTTGCAAGATTATGACATTGGGAATTCAAGTGTTGGGTTCGTGACAACTTGTAGCTGAAAGCTTAGCAGCAGATATGATGCATTGTTGTTTTTGTTTCTCCGAGGACTTTAACAGCGAAGTGATAGATGCACTCAGAGATGGATAGTGGCAGCAATGGTGATGGTCATGATGATCATGATCTTCTTCTCACCGCCGCAAAAAGGTCTTGCGTTGCGAAGTCTTGCCTCATGGTTTTCATGAGGAATCCTGGGACTTGGTGGCTTTGCCAAAGAAGTCGGCTGTGTAGCTCCGGCCAAATCCCCACAAGCAAACTACTCATTGTGACCTTGTTTGCGGAATACTCTAAAGTCATGAGCTCTTGACTGCAGATATGACGTAGGCATTGCTTAGCATCACTGACATATCCCTTGGCTTAAATTTCAGCGCTTTCTTACCATCATCTGTGTGGTGCTTAGGGCCGTCTTCCTCCAACAAGATAGTCTGGAAGTCCTGTAGAATCATGGCACCAAGCTAGAGGTGATGGCAGCTACCTTATATTAGGAGTGCTCTACGTCAATCCCTGGACCATTGAAATAGGGGAGGGCGAGCGGCCATTCCGGACTGAGTTTTCCTAAGCACTCATCAAATTTGGCTATCTGCAGGGCAGCCAGGCTTGGCATATCACGGCATGGCGATGCGCCTGGGCATGCCATGTGTCAAGCAGTTGCTGGATGGCTTGACTGGACTCTGGGCTCAGCGCAGCTGAAACTGGCAATGGCCACATATGTCCGCGATCCAGAGCTTGCGCGCGCGAGGAATCCCCAGCCATTATTCTAGATTCCCATACCCCGATCTTGTCCAGCCGGAAAAATGCCAGGCGTGAGGAATTGCAAAAATCGTAAGGCGTCACGCGGCCTGCCCGGATTTGGCCAGGCACGAGTGCCGTATGGTTGCTGGCCTTTTTTGGGAAGCCAGCCATCCCAGAAATCTCATCAGAGGAGAATCCGCCAGGATTGTACAGTGATGTGCCGGAAGATGATTTAGGTGCCACATTATGGCTAGGACGGTAGATTTGGCATAGCAATGGTTGCTTGGAGGTTTATGGACAATAAGGATGGCCAGCCTGAAGAGCGCAACGTGCTTACAGATCTTGGAGAAGGCGGTCCACCGTGTTGGCCAATGGACTCCTCCCTATCTTGGCTGGACGCTTTGTTGCCGCCACCAGAGCATGCAGGAGTTGCGACTCAACTTGCCCAGTATGTGGAAGCATTTTTGAGCCTCACGTGTACGGTTCTGGACCTCACGGGTAAACGGCACACCCGACGTCATGTCGTGAGTAAGTTTCCTCAGAGCAAAGAATTTGGAAATCACATGTGGGTGCAAAGTTAACATCTTCCGCGCAGTCAGCATCCCCATCACCTCCTGATAGGAGAGAGGCTCTTGCGTGGACTGCTCGTACTTCTGCTGATCCGAGTTCCAATGTAGGTCGGTAGGGAAAGGATCCGCGCACGTAAAGGCCGAGCTTCTCCGCCATCTCTTTGAGGTTGGAGTCCGTCTCCAACTGTTTGATTTTGCCCAACAGAGCTTCCTACAGTGATGCCAGCAGACTTGTCTTCAGGGATTGGTTTACATTTGTCGGGTCCTGCTCCCTGCGCTCTCGCCAGCGTTTGCCCAGGGGATGCAATGATGGGACTGTGCTCCAGCGGTCCTCCGCCTTCTTGTTTGAGTCGCGGTTGCGCAAGAACACGAACTGGGTATCCTTTTCGAGTATAGAGATGTTGTCTTCCTGAAGGATGATTAGTCTCCCATAACTTTTATGATGCCCTGCAAGTCTTCGGAAGAATGAGAGGATCCTTGGTTTTGCTGTCCTTCCACCATTGATTCTGCTGTTGCTGGCGAAGACGTCTGTCTTGATTGTAGCCGTTGCCCTTGCTTGGGCCTTTCGGCCACTTGGTCCTCTGAACCGGTGCTTCCTGGTTGGCTGGTTGCACCTTCCCTTTTGCCGTCCCGTCCACTGGCATGTTCGGGTCCTGAGTTGGCTCTTGACTTGCTGTCGAAGCCTCTTATGGCTGGCTCGTCCCGATTGGGGCCATGAGCCCCGAGAACGTTTTCAGCTCCTCGGCTCTCTTGAGTTCGTCGTCTCCGACTTGCGTCGTCATGACGTAAAGTTGAGTAGATTGACTTGTTGGGCGGAGCATGGCATCTCGATCAAGGAGGCGTCCACATGCCCACAGCACAGGGCAACCATGGCGATGTGCCTTTGTTTGTGTTTTGAACTGAGCGCCACGCCAACAGCAAGGGTTGGACGGAACGTGGCAATTTCGAACCCAATTTGGTGAAGTTTGGAGAATGCAGGTCTGACCCGAAAGTGTGGTTGAGGCCTCCTATTTTGAATCCCTCTTGCACTTTCAGCTTGGGACTTTGCACATGCCAAGGCATGTTTTTCATGGTTCCCTGTTGTCTCCTGCTAAATTCAGCCATATTCTCCTTTGATAGAGTTTGGAGAGGCAGTAGGTCGTTCCGGCTCAGTTCTTTTTTTTTCCGTGGTTTCCGTTGGCTTCATAAAAGCCAGCCGCCCCAGAATTTGTTTCAGGACCCCTATTTTTCCTGCACTCACTTTGCGTGAGTTTCAGTTGGGCCTCACATAATTTGCAAGCTTGAGAAGCAAAAGGCCTTGACAACTGAATCTGACACCCCTTCGCCAGGTTTGTGTGCATGGCATGTACAAGCGCTGTGTGGACTCCATCGGAAGGTGCGTGGCCTCCAAATCATTTTTCATTACCGCAGCCTCGGGCTCGAGCTGATGGCTACGGCCGCGCCCGGGGAAGGCCCCGCATGTACCCTAAACCCTAAATTAGTTCCAACATCAGGTCGTAAGTGGCTTCCTGATGTCCGGGAGCCTGCAAAGAAAAGCCTCCATCCTCCCTTTCACATACGCAGCCTTACTAGCCTGCAGGAGTGGTGTTTTTTTGCTTGCTTCTTGCCAAACCAATAAGGGCGTGAAAAGCCCTGAGTCCAGCTTCGTGCGTGTGACTTAGGGACTTAGGGTCAGATTTCGGTCTGGCGCATTTTTTTCTTTTTAAAGATGATCATGATGACCATGATGATCATGATGAGGGTGAGGGAGAAGGTGCGCCTTGAAGGTGAGGCGCTGACGGTGGTGATGATGACTGTTAGTGAGCATTCAAGCAAGATGAAAGGACACGATGCATCAGAAAACTGATCGTAGCATTTCAGATCAGATATCGCGAGCCAAGATCTCGTCATCCACAATTTTTAGGTAAGACGATACATGAGAGCAACAATAATATGACCGAGACCTAGGTGTAGTCAGAGGCAGAAGTTACAGATGCATGTCACATGCGGCATTCCCGCTTAAGAAGGGACACCGCAGCAGATGCGTCCGTAAAAAAAGCCCATTGCAGCACCTAATGTTCACCCACGCCCCATGCTTTAGCAGGCCATGCGTAACATCAAGCGTTGTTGCGATGAACAGCCTTAGGGCCTGTCCCTCATTGCTCGTGCCTTGGTGCTGTCTGTCTGCCCCCGACAGGAATACAAGATCCCTGCCTGGCCGAATGACTTGTCCTGGGAAGCGAGCGCGCAACTCCGAACCATTTCGCCAGCTGGCCGCAGGCGTTGGGATGTCTCAAGAGGTGTGTTCGTTGACATTTGCCCGCGTCGAATGCTATCCTTGCATTCGGGCTCGTATGGAGTCTGAGCTGCGGGGTTGGGGTGAAGTTGGTTGTCAGAGCAACTGGCGGAAGCTTTGGCCTAGTGGATAGATCAT